CTATGGAGAGAGTAGTTGTTTTTCTAAAGGGAAGGAGCTGGGAGTCTGACTTCAAATGAGGTAAATTTGTAGGTATACAACCCAGTGTAGTCATATACAGCCCTAACAACTTAAAATTCTTGATAATGTTTTTGACAGTAGGTTCTTTAGTTTACATGTTGCCGTGAACTTGGTAAGGACACCATTTGAGAACTTGATGTATGCTTCTTCCACTTGGTAAGTTTTGCAAGATGTGACCTGACTCATACCTGACAAAGTTGGCTTGTGACAACTGAAATGAGGGGACTGAACTGCCCTGTCCCCTGTGGTCAGCATGCCTCCCAGAGTTTGTCAAATTATAAAAAGTGGATGCTTATGAATATATGCATTGTCCTCCTTATTAGCACTGCGCTGAGGTGCTCAGGGATGGGAATCTCTAAAAAGCCACACTCTCTGTGGAGTCAGAGAACAGGAAGGAGTAAAAAACAAACAGCTTGGGTAAGACCTCTYCTAGAACTTTACCATCCTTGAAGAATGAACACTGACTAGCAGCCTGGGGGAATTTTAGAGTGGACAGAAGAAATGTGAAAGACAAAAAAGATGCTTAAGACAGGAAAATCAAGAAGGCAATGATACCCTTCCCCAACCTAGGCTGCCAACCTAAAAAAGTAGGCCTAACTTACAGAAGAGGATAAAATTTGATATTACATTACATTCAGAATTTTGATTAATAATGTAAATTRTATTATTGATTAATTATTAATCCAATTTCTGGATTACAAGGTGACTTAAGTCAAATAAGCAAAACCTCATGCATACCATATTTTTCATTTAAAAGTAATAAAAGACATATAGAGTCTCTTTCAAGGCATTTTGTAGGGTTAATAGATGTCATAGGCTGAATTTTGCCCTCCTCAAAATTCRTATGTTAAATTCCTTAGTAACTGCTGGCCCTCAGAATGTGACTATATTTGGAGATACAGTCTTTAAAGAGATAAATAAGGCAAAATGAGAATAATTAGGTTGTCCCTTCTCTGATATGACTGGTGTCCTTTAAGAGGAAGGTGGGGGGGTGGGTGAAGACATGGGGAAGTTGCCCATCTATGAGACAGAATGAGAGAGACTTCAGAAGGAAATAACTCTATTGATATCTAGATCTTGAGACTTTCAACTTCCAGAATGTTAAGAAATATTTTTTTCCCCTTAGGCTACCCATTCTATGATATTTTTTCTGGTAACCCTAGAAAACTAATACATTAGGAGACAAGAAAAATTGAGTGGTTATGGCAATAGAAGTAATTTTGGAAGGCATATTAATCAAGCAGTTCCACAAAATTGGGACCACAGAATCTGTCTTCCCTAATGAAACAACTGAAATTAAAAGAACTGCATAAAAAATGTCCTTTTAAGTGGTTATAGACCCAGTTTAAGTGGCAGACTACATAGCAACATATGCAATACTAGATTGCTTAATAAAAATGTTGTGTATTTAGACAATATGAAGCACAGTATATAAAACAGAATATTCGAATCACCTTAAACTGTACTTTATTTAAAGAAATTGWCTTATTCTTTGYAATGGTGTAAGTTGGTATATATTTATAGGGACACTAATTAAACAGTAAAACAAAAGGGCAAATTTATGTTTATATTTTATATTTATTTACATATGTATATAAATAAGTTTCTTGATGTTTATACAAAGAGTATTACATGTGATTTCTTACTCAGGTAGGTGCCCCATTAATGTTAACTTCCTATTTTCAGTTGTATGATATAAGGAAAGACAGATTATTTAATTCTGCTTCTAGTCACCTTAGATTAGAGTGAGTGGTCTCTGATCGATCAATGATATTTAAAGTTGATTTAAAGATGCAACAGAGCAACTAAAAATAAATGTTAAGTCTGGTTTGTATAACTCAGTTCTGGCTTTAGTAAGAATAAGTATCGATTACCAATGATAAAGCGATTTTGGGTGGTAAGAGAAAAGGAATAGTTTCCTTTTGGGGGGTGAGATTGTACAGTGAGACTTCACTAATGAAAGAAACCAATCACAGTTRCCAACAGGTGTGGAAGTTTGCTCTAAAGTGCTTCATAAGTGTTTGGCTTTAAAATATTTTATCTTATGTTATGGTCGAGCATAGAGGTTCAACTACAGTAGCAGGAGAGCCGACTGGGCAGGTTCTGAACTGGGATTCACACATACTAGGAGTACTGAGACTAGCAACAGGCCCTGGGTATGGAGAACAGTTGCTTCTCACAAAATCTAGCAACAGATTTGAGGTTGTCTCCAAGGTATGAGGAACTCAGAAGTGGTGAATCTAGAGGGACAAAATATGTGGGATGGTACTAGTTGAAAGTTTCAGGAAAGTCTGTCATCAGGATTAAAACCATTTCCTCAGGACTGTGGGCATGGCCATACGGAGGGAACAGACTGACCAGAGCAAACCCTGCAACTTATTGAGTACTGGATATATCATCAAAGCAGGGATCCACATACAAGTTCACACCTGGGAATAGCTCCAAGATTGGAATAATAACAAATATTAGTTACCAAATGCTTTCCATGTACCGGGTCCTTGCAAACATTCTGTGTGTATTGTTTCACTACATCCAAAGTTGAATCCCATGAACCTTTACAGTCAGGGTCATTTAAAAAACACAAAAATGGCAATTATGATTAAAAAGACAATCTAAATAAAGAACTCAGATCAAACCTTATCATTTCAAGATCAAATCAAGAAGGAGAGTTATATACTAACATGCACTGACTATTAATATAGAGGGTAAAATAACCATCACAGAAACAATCAAGCATAAAAATGAGATATGAAACCAAATTATTCTCAGTTATGAAACCAAATTATTCTCAATTTTATAGGAAATGATGCCAGGGGGAAAAAAACTAAATTATTAGTTACAGATTTATATTTTTCATAAAAGCTACTTATATGCCAAGTATTTCACCAATGGTTAATTTTCTTTCAATTTCAAACAACTAAGAAAGATAATTTCAGGTAGATGATAGATAGATAGATAGATAGATAGATAGATAGATAGATAGATAGATAGAGGCTGAGAAAACATTTTACAAACATATCATTCTTGAATGTAAATTACTTTAGATAGCTACTAGTTCACCAAAGAATGCATCAAAATTAGAATTTGGGAACAAAGAATGTGACAGACTGCTCTAGAGATATCTCAAAAGGTAGTTTCCAAATTATCACAGAGGCTTGAAGATAATCCATGCTGAGACCATTATTATGCATGTTATAAGAGACTTGAATGTGGGTGGTCTGAGGTCTCTTTTTATGGTGTCATGTCTATACAATTAAATGACAGCAATTTCAATGTGGAAGGTTTTCCTTTAGTATTGAAATAATGCTACAATGCRCAAAATTTTTTCTCTAGATCTTTCCCTCAGTTTATGATTCACTACTAGACTCAATTATTTAATTAAATAATATTATAATTGTGTTTTTAAAAATAATGTTTGAGAAGAATACAGGCTTATCTTTGATTTTTTTTCTTCTATTGTTCTTCTGGTTACTTGATGTTTTTCATTAAAATATGAACATGAAGAAGTAATAAAGATGGGACTTTTCTAAATTACATACATGAAATCTATGATATATTTATGTAATCTATTAAGTTAGTATAACATACCTCTCAAATGTTTATTCTGTTGAATAAAATTGTATAACTTTCATGARAAATCTTTTTTCAGAGGTGGACCTAATCTTTTTTTCAAGTTGTTCGTGGTAACAGTCTGGACTTGTAGCTTCCTCTCACAACTTCTTGTGACTTTCTGAGAAACTGAGTAGCGATATGTGGAGGGAATCCTTCCAAGATMACTTGTTCAGTTTACAGACAAAGGATCTGAAGTTGATGAATTGTTCCTAGAGCTGACTTCCTCAAATTTCTTCAGTCTGTCCTGAGATGACCTTTTCCATTACACTCCCTCTGGCATTGCTAAGAAAAAAGAAAGAAATCCACCCAATACTGAACCACACTTACCATAGCAAAAGGAAGAAAACAAATTTTATGATTATTTCATAATAAGCTTCATGAAAYTTTAATAGCCAATGTTATAAATAAATTAACTGCACTAAGCACAAACTAACAAAAATTATTATAGTTTCTATTTGAATCCTCTAACAATGAGGCCARGATGCATCTTGGCATTTTCTGGATTTTTTGAGAACTGATATAGTTACCCTTAGCAAAAACCATATAAGAAAGATAAGTATTAGACCCTGTTGTTAATGAAATCTTTGAAGAAGATAATCCTATAACCACCAGAAATCCATTGACAAGCTAGGTGTCATGGTGCAGCCTGTAAACTCAGTGGSTCAGGAGGCTGAGGCAGGAGGATCATAAGTTCAAAGCCAACCTCAGCAACTAGTGAGACCCTAAGCAAMTTAGCATGACTGTATCTCAAAATAAACAATACAAAGKTCTGGGGAATGTGGCTCAGTGGCTAAGCACCCTAGGGGTCCAATTCCCAGTAGGAAAACAAAACAAACAAACAAGAAACCCACAAACAAGATTTAATAAAATTCACACAATGTTTTATGTTATGGAAATAAAGATTTAAATTTCTAGATTAAAAAAAAATACCATTCTCTAGAGTTGAATTGGCCATAACATGGTAGGAACAAGGACTGCTCTTTATTGAGCTCCACACAGTTTACAAAGTTTGTTTTATTTAATCTTTTGTGAATTTTGTAACAAAAAATAGTATACAGGACATAAAGTGACAGCAAATAATAAGTGTTTATTAATTTAATTTGTTAAATTGAGGCTTCACCAAAATCCTATGAAAGAAATGGCATTGTCCCTATTTTGTAGTTGAAGAAAAAGATGGAGATGAACCAGCTTTCTCAAGATCACATAACAGAAATCATTTGAAAACACAAATGTAACTGACATAACAGTTTTCACATATGGGATCGTATTATGCTRTGACTTTTTTATAAAGTAGATACTATTTTATTGGCTGAATTTTCTATTTTCAGGTATTTTCTTATACAGCTGACAAAGAAATMCGAACTGATGACTTATGCTTGGATGTGTCCAGACTCAATGGACCTGTAATCATGCTAAAGTGCCACCACATGAGAGGAAATCAACTATGGGAATACGATGCTGAGGTAGAGTATTTTCCCTAACTCCTTAATTAATGCTTCAGTTCAGTTACATATTTTTAAAAAGTTAATCCTACTCTTTTTTTTAATTGTTTTTTATTGATTGTTCCATACATTACAGAGCTCTTGATAAATCATCTTTCATACATTCGATTCCATTGGGTTTTGAACTCCCATTTCTACCCCAAATACAGATAGCAGAATCACATCTGTTACATACTCACATTTTTACCTAATGGCATATTAGTGACTGTTTTAATCTGCTACCTTTCCTATCCCCTACTATCCCCCTCCCCTCCCCTCCCACCTTCCCTCTCTGCCTCCTCTGCTGTTGTTCAATTCTCTCCCTTTTTTTCCCCATCCCCCTTGCCCATCATAACCTCTTATACTTTTTTCTGCATTGGAAACATTATATTCCAACCATTCATGCTCATATGTGATGACATTAGGAGGGCATATCATATAAGCAGGCTTTGGTTAAACTGGTCCATTAGTATAAAACATGAATAATCATTTTTAATGCTTAAAATATGTGATCTCCATGTAAATGTCCAATATAAATTAGGCCAGGGGTGARCTATACTTATCTGAGAGGTACATATGAAGATGTTCATATAGCACAATTTGACAATATGTTCTTATTTTCAATTTTTAAATTTTGCACCATTGTAATCCCTGATATGTTTACTATTATAAAGAATATGGCAAAGAATTCTTTACTATTTAASATAGAAAATGTTTTCCAGAATTTGATAAACCAGTTTGTCATATAATAAGCCAATATAGCACACCTTTCTGATAGAGAAGAAAGTAGAGAAAACAACAAAATTATTGATGGGAATTTATAGCTAGGCAATGTGTAAAAATCAGTTCAGCCATCAGATGGAGCTAATAAAAAAGAAATATTTTATTCAACATAAGGAAGCAGCCTCAGAAACAGATTCATCACTTTCATTTCCCTTTGCTTAGCAAAATGAATTCGTCATACGTRTCACATTTTCAACATTATTAATTGGTCACTGATGTATTTTAAAGAAGAACTGAAYTTTATTTTACAAGATAAATAATATAGTAGAGATAAATGGGGCTCACAGATGCAGTGTTCCATACAAGCTTAAAATATTCTGCAATAAAAATATTTTAAAACCAATCTATAGAGTTTTCAGTATTATTGATATTTTAAACAAGGTCTTCTTTTGAAAAYTTTTTGAATGCCATTTTAATTTGCATGACTTTGTTTCCTAAGATGAATATCAGGAAAACTGACTGAATTTGTATAGGATTTAAAACTGGTTATATAGGATTAATTCTGGCCTGAAATTTATATAATGTTACTAGTCTCTTGGGACAAAAATTCTTCTGGGACATAATTAAGGACAAACATCCAGATTCCTTTCTGTGTTGTGGCAATGTGTTATATTGATACTCCTTGCCTGTCAGTATCTTATTCACCTTTTTGATTCACCATTCTTTTTATCTTCAACTATTATCTGTTATCACTGTTCTTTATATTAAAGCTAGAGAAGAGTTTTTCCTCTACTAAAAAAGTATCTAAATCTAAACTCTTAATCAGTGCACTACCTCTTCTATGAGGAGAAGTAAAGACAAATGTACAGAAAAAGTAGAAAACCTAAAAGTAGCATTTATTTTTAAATAAAACATTTTATTGTTGATGCTTAGTTTCTTTCAAATACCAGAAATTTGTTTGGCTTGTACCAAAAGTAAGAGACTATAGCATAAATTTATTCAGAAAGGGGAATGATTGTCCATTTTGATAAGATATAGCACAGTCAAATTTCAGAAGACCACTTTTAGTCTTCAAACTTTTCTGTACCTCTTGAGTGAACAATAACTTCTATACTTATAACTCAAGTTGCTTCATTTCTAAAGTAACTCCTGTTAGTAGTTAAGTATAAACTTTTTTAAAAGGTATATATTCTGTCAGTAACATTGTTACTGAATGCTAAGGAAGTTTATAAGACAAGTAAAAAATGTGTCTTCATCTAATTTTCTTTTTTTGAAAATTTACCCTTTTAGATGATTAGCAGTTATCTGTTGTAATATTTCAGAGCACTGTAAAATTTCAAGCCACATTAACTTTGCTTTTAGAATACACACACACAAACTTATGCCATAAATATTAAGAAATTTCATTTTAACCAAGTAATCTTTTCACGTTAAAAATAAGTGTCAGAATTTAATTTACTCTCCTATATGTTTATATGCTTTGAAAATTATGTTGTACAATTTGTCTAATGTCATCACTTTGCCAAATTTTTAGAAATAAGTAAATCATAATGTAGAGAAATCACCTGAGAATGGAACAATGATAGGAATAATGCCCTGCCTTTTTCAAAATTTCAAGTTTGAAATTTGATTGTATGTGTCAGAAGTCATTTAGAAAAAGATAAGTTTCCAAAAAAATTGAAATAAAACATTTATTTTTCTATAGTTTCCTTTAATTTTAAGTTTCATGTTCAGAGTCCCTTTAGTCCACCTAACAGTCCCTATACTTGCTACCCAGAGGGTAGTTCTAGGATCAGTGGCATGCATCGCCTGGGAACTTATTAGAAAAATAGAATGTGAGAACTGTGCTTGACATCCTAAGTCCAAATCTCTATATTTTAACAATCTCCATTAAAGTTTGGTCTAGACAGTACAAATATCTATGAATTTTCCATGGTGTTTTATGTGCTGTTGGAAATTATTGCAAACTTAGTGGGGGAAAAAAACCATGAATGCACTTTGGAAAATGCAAGGCTTCCAGGGGGTCTAAGGGAGAGAAAGGAAGCAAAGGGCCAGAGGTGCTGGGATGTGAATGAGTCACTGCTCTGTAGCTCTAGTCTTCAGAGTGGAAAATGGGTGAGAGCTGCTCACCGATTCTTCAGTTCTTTATCCTTTGCTAGCAAGGGCAAAATTATTATTCTTTGAGAAACCTCTGAGGTCATGCAGTTTCAAGGCAGAATAAAAATTGGTGGAGTTCACAGAATTATAGAGCTGAAACGTACCTTAAAGTTCTCTTCTTCCAACCTTTATCAGGAGAAAGCTAAAGCACAAAGATTACCCTGCTAGCAGCAGAGCTAGGATTTAGGTCCTAATAAAGTTTTCAAAGAAGCTAGTTATCAGTACAGTTTTGAATCTTACAGTGTGAACAGCTGAAATATTCCATCACCTTATCTCCTATAGTCCTTTCAGTCTTAGAAAGGAAAGTCATAAATAGGAGCAGAATTGTTGAAATATCCAGAGACAAATGGAAACAGTGTCATGAGCCCTGAAAACATGGAGTCTATCCAGCTGCTTCAGAATAGAGTTAATCGAGTGCTATATAATTTTATCTGTCTTTTTATACAATTGAATGGTCTTATAAGATTGAGCTTCTTATTCTCTGTGTTTATCATATTAATAAACTGGAGCATAGAATAAATGTTGGCTAAGTTTGCACACTCAGATTTCTGGTATTTAATCTAGCAATTTTTCTACTGTACTACATTACTTCTCAAGGTAATTGAAAAACTATAAATAATTAGAGGCTCCCAATGGTGAAGATCTAATAAGCTAAATGTACAGTATTATAAATAAGATAATCAAATGTTAACAGTTATTTGCAGTACCAAATTTTGTTCACATAAGATTTCTCCTTTTCTTAATAATAGGAAAATTATTCTTCAATAAATATGATCTATTTAGATAAACAGYCATGAAACTACTCTGACACTATGGTCTAATGCTTGCACACTTCAGTTACTCATATTCTGAATATAATTAATGTTCAGTTGCTTTTCCTTTCAATTAAATGGAAATAAGCTTGTGTTTATAATAAATGCATACTGCTGATTTACTCTGATTTGAAATATAGAATTTCTCACTTTCCTAACTCAACATTTCTCTTTTGTTGTTGTTTTTTTCTGGTATTTTGTGGTTCTGGAGATTCAAACCCAGGGCTTTACACATGCTAGGCAAATACTGTACCACTGAACTACATAGTCAGCCAATAACTAAATATTTCTTAAATAGCACAATTATAAACTTAACTTGCTGTCTGTCACTTTTTGCCTGGTCTAATTTGTTTGATTTGGAGGCAACCTGAGCATCATTAGCAAAGTTGTGGAATATCCACCTGGTCTATAATCCCTTGAATAAATTACCAAACACTTCAGTGCCATGAAATGCATATTGTCACAGAGTCAAACAAAAGAGAAAAGCTAAATTGAATCTAACAAAAAATATTTATTTATTAATGGTGCTGGGGACACTGAAGTGATTTTTAAAATTATTTTTATAAAAGTCTGTTGCTCATCCATTCTAATTTATTCAAATTTTCTTATAGGCTGTTGCACATCCTAAGTGTATTCCAATCTCCTTCAAATTTACATTTTCCTGCAGTATGTGCACTTAATCACATTTCTTTTTTAACATCTAGGCAGCTACATACAGTGTGAGAATCTAATTTTAGATCAGAACACTTGTGCTCAACAAACACTATGCAACAAAGAAAAAAAGGGAGCAAAATATGATGCTAAAAATAAGTCTTGTTTTTCATGTGACTGAGCAAGTTGACTGAGAAAATACTTGTTATGAATTCTATACCCATCTGTATGAAATGTTTCTCAGAGCTGAAATATAAGGAATTTTTTCAGTAGGTAAACTATGTTAGATTGATATTTACTGAAATCACAGAAGCTTATATTTAGACTTTACTTACTACCCCCCTCTTTTATTTATCTTTATCAGAAAGCAGGTAAATGGGAATATAATTTCAAGGTAAGTAATCTGTAAATACAATGTAGTCATATCCCTGTGTAGAATTCCTAATAAAAACAATGGCTTGGTTTACCTTTTAAAGGAGGTAACCATTAGACATTACCCCTTAGCTTTGATTTTGCATTATAATCAACTAGTGAATAGAAGTTTCAATAGATAAGTGTTGCAGTTGTAGCTCCTCCTTGTTAGTGATCTATGCATGAGTTTTAGAATGCTTACAACCCATTTTACTGACTGCACAGACT